TTGTGCCAGGGCCTCAGTGAAGGTGAGTGGGCACTTTCCATATTGGACATTTCTGGAAGCCCTTAACCCCAAACCCTAAACCCATTGAGGCTACGGGATGCGTGGCGTCCTGGACCTGGAGGTGGCAATCCAAGGCAGCGACCGTGACCTTCACAGTGGGGTGAACGGCGGCCTTCTTCCGGCGCCTTGGCCATCTTTTGGGACAAAGGCATTGTGGGTCTTCTTTGCAATTCCTAGGAACGAGATGTTTTGTTTCTTTGCGTTTGGGACCCTAGATCTTGTCGCTGTGACGCAGCTGCGCTGCTGAGCTCCTTGAAGGAGCCGACTTTTGACCTCATGGCAGTGATCTCATCATTGACTGATTCAGCTGGGGTTCCCACGGTAACCGGGCTTGCAGAACGCCGGAGGCCTCAGTGTTCCCTACAGCTAGAGCTCCCTTTCTATCTAACACTCTGACAAAGGTCTATGCAACATCAACGAGGAAGATCTTGCCAACCTGTCTGCGGCGGGGCAGCAGCTACTCGGCCTGTTGGGCGCAGGCTCGTAACAGTCCCCGAGAACCGAAACGCCCACGTTTCAGTCGAGGATGTCCGTGGAGAAGATCTGCCAAAGACTGGGCTTGCCGAATGGCCAAGCCGGACCTGGATGGCTGCAGACCTTCCAGAATCCAGGCCGCGCCCTTCCGACCAAAGTTCACGGTAATGGCACTGTTCCCAAGGCATGGAGGTACTCAAGAGGACCTGGTTGCAGCCCTCGATCTCAGTAACAGAGATTGGCAAAGGCGGGGACGTGGATGTGCATTTGTGAGGCCGATACAACAGGTTTTCCTTCAGCTTTGGCTTTCAGGTCCCAGACATCTTCACGGCAGACACATTGCCAACCGGGCATCTTGCGTGGTGTCAGTTCGCACAACCCCAGGCCTTGCTAATTCGGGGCTCCTGCAAAGGGGGGGTGCGGGGCAGGGTGGCGCGATGATCCTGTGGAGCTGCAACATAGGTTCGCTGTGGACTGTGGTTGCTTTGATTTCGGATCTTCATGTTCAAGAGGTCGTGGGTCTCGCTTTTCCTGCATGCTGTATCCCTGCGGGAATAAACCAAAAAGATTGAGTGCTTGCAGGGTCTCCGAGCTTTTGTATCCCATATACCTGCTCGTTTGCTGGAGCCCTGGGCAAACCAGAGTCCTGGAGAATGCTACTTGTCCAAGGCGCAGCGTGCAGGTTGTAGACTCCACAGTTGGCGAGAAGACTGCACAACGCTGCGCGCATCGGAGACGAGTTAGCAAATTCGACAGTCCTTGCCAGGTTTTTCCAGTACAGTGCATACGTTGGATGATAAACTTTCGCAGCCAATCTCTCAATCTCTCAATCTCTCGACCTCGGCTTCTGGATTTCGTCGCGGCCTCTTAGCTGGGACTTGAACGCAACACGCCTTTGCCATAGGCCCAAGAGGCACGTCGCCATGCTGAAGAGGAGCGTTCAGATTCAGACTGCAATGGCAGAAGGTCATGGGCCGAGGGAAATCATGTTACACACCAGCGATGCCGACAGATTTGTAGAAAAGGAGCCACTTTCCTGTGGGTCTGTTCGCCCTTAGCACTGGCAGTCCTGACCAAGAAATCCAGAGCTCCGCGAGGCTTGCATGCAAATGAAGAGCTGAATCCGGATGGCCAGGAGGCCAGCACTTCGCAAAGGACGAATTGCATACCCTTCGCGCCCTGAGAGGCCCGGGGGTGCGCAAAGCGGGGATTGATCTAACCAAAAAAAAGACGAAGGGTCAAAATGCACAGAGCCTGGGGAGGCACCGCCGCCCAAAAGGAAGTTCATCAATTGGCACAGTTCAAAGTTCTCAATATCTGCAGACACGACTGGGCAGCGCAAAGATGACAAGTTTGCCCAGCAAGCTAGTTCAACTGTTGGCTTTCCAGCTTTTTTCAAGTGTAGGCAGTCTTTTGGCAAAGGAGCGACGACGGCGTTGAAGCATCCAGCTCACAAACGAGCATAGCGTGCCATGGCGGCCGCAAAGCAGGAAGCAAAAATGCATTGAAGTTGGACGCGCTGTAGCAGCTAACACCAGCGCGTTCAGTCACCACAGCTCCCAAATGTGAGCAGCTGGAGGAGCTGCTGAAGCAAAAGGGTGCATCTTGTGGCCCGGTGGGCCGCCTCAGAGACGGCACAGAGATGCGGTGCTCCATATCAGCTAGAATCAAAACTCCTTAAAGGGGGTTGAAAAGGGGATTATAGGGACTATGATAGGGGTTATTAATGGCTCGTATTACCTCCCTGCTACGACGCATGGTACATTAGAGGGTTGCTGCCTCGGATCGTACAGCGAGCCTCGTGATAGCGTCCTGCACACGATGCCAGCGGCGCAATTAGGACATCTCCCGTAACCAAAGGCAACACAAAAAGTGTGCCGGTTTCGGCCAGCGGGTGAGTCTGCAGGAGGTATTTTTGTGCAGGTTAATTCCCGCAACCGTCCAAGCGCCCATTCTGCTGTGCTACACTTTCTGCGATTACAATTACTAAAGCTTCATAATTTACAATTCATAATTAACTACAAAAAGCAAACAAAAGTACGAGTGCTGTCCGGGTCTGGGTTCAGGACACCTTCAGGGCTGTATTGTCCAGCGAGAGGAATCTGGCCCAGGTTGTGTCGTATTTTGGGCTCACGCTTTTGAGGGGAAGCTTGCGGGAACCATCGGGTTTAGGACCTCCAGAGTTAAGGCAGGCCGTTTGGGGACTGCAGTCTTGAACGCTTAGAGAGGCCTTAGCCTACACCTTTTAGGGCCCATCTTTCCTACAGAGTTTTTGTCAAGGTTTTGGATGTCTTTGGCGGGTCGTCCAAGAGCGAGGTAGCTACTGGACGTTCTAAGACTATAGAGGTCGTTGGGGATCTTCTGTGCTGTTCTTTGAATTCATAATTTTACGGTGAGGATTGGGGACACAAAGTAGCTCCATCGCACAGGAAGATGTAGTGTTGAAGGCTTGCTGGGTTGAAGGGTTGTTTGGGTTTGGGCTTCAGGTTTTGAGGGTTCGAATTTCGCAGTTTTGCGTCTGCAGCACCACACCCCCACCCGGCCGCCCCCTGACACTGATGGCAAAGTGAAAGGCCAGCGAGCTGAAGACGTGGTGAGTTGCCTGAAGCAGCATCTTCAGCACGAGTGCCTTGATGGCACGTCTGGAGCGATCATTGTTTTGAGTAGCAGTTGTGCCGGCTTGCATGTCAGGTTTGCAAAGCGCCGCAGTTGTAACCAGCTGGAGATTGCAACGCTCTCCGTCTCAGCCCCTTGGGATGCGTTGCGCTAAGGGCAGGCTTCCTCGTCTAAACGATATTTAAATGACGCGCGGCAAGCTGATCCAAGGAGTCTTGGCTGGCGAAGCCAACTTCAAAGGCGCGCTGCACGCGCTTCGATGCGCCGCAATATGTGTTGCTTGTGAGATTTGCTGAGCCGAGGTATTCCGGGCAGCGCGGGCGGCTGTGGCGACTGCTTGGAAGTTGGAGGAGTCAGCAGTTCTGGCAGTTCGCGAAGGCGGATGGCACCTCAGGAATGCCTTAGAGGCATGGAACTTGTCACTAAGTTCCGTTCTACGCCTCTTTGCTGCGGCTTGTCCTTGTCCTTAAGGAACCATTGCTATCCTCCCCTTGCTGGAGGCGGAGCTGGAATGTGCCCAAGCTGCTATGGGAGGGGTTGAAGGCAGTGAGGAGCTACTGAGGGCATTGGGCTTGCAAGTGAAAATGGCCAGCGGAGGTGATGTGGTGCAGATGGCATTCAGCCAGGCAAGAGCTTCTCCGGTCAAGCTGGTCAATGCTTGGAAACTTCTGGGACATGCAGGCATCTGACGCCGTTCATCTTCCCAACGAACGGATGTCACGAACTGTCCTGGCACGGGCTGTGGATGCGATCGCAGGCGGTCTGCACCCATGACAGTTCATAAGAGATCCTCAAAGATCAAGACTGACGAGAAGTTGATCCAGCTTTGTGCATGCCGCCATGCATTCGTGCATGATTATGCAGCGCATTATGCAGGTGCCTGCTCGGTCAGTGCTTGTCTGGCTCAGGCACGCTCTCCCGCTTAGCTGACGCAGCCCGTTGAAAGGCGTTGACAGGTCGAAAACTTTTGAAGATTTAAACAAGATTTTCATGTACATATCCCGTGGGACGGGCCCAGTGCACAGATGAGCACTGCCTAGAGGGGTTGGTCTCATGTCTGAGCGCTTGAGGCAGTGAGGGCGTCGCAAATGACCTCCTATGAATTTCTTGCACGGTTGGTGCGTGTTTGTGGGTCTCACTTGCTGGAGAGTACAGGCCACAGCTGCACCTGTTTTCCACCTGAAAGGCAGGGCCCGCGCTGGAAGTTTGAAGGTTGCCGATGAACCTGCATGAAAGCTTGCTGCTAGCATTCCCTGAGCACAAGGCAGTGGTCCTCATACCCTCTACTTTTTTTGGTCACGTAAGGGAATGTTTGTGAGTGAGGCCGCAGGAGTGGGACAGGCCCTTGCAATTTTGGCTTGCATTGCAAGACTTATGGATGCTGGTCCTGGTGGTCCTGGTTGTCTTGTTCTGGATCTAAAGAGAAGTAATAATGGAAGTGATTGAAGACAACCTGCAGTGCGCTGTCTTGACCAGCTAGCACGTCTAGCATGTCTCTGCGATGCAGAAACGTTGCGTTCCAGCACTCGCATTGTGCTAAACTGTTTCTCATGTTGGTGAGACGAGATGACCAATTTGCCGGGTTTGGGAGGATGTCTCTGTCTCTCTAGTCGGGCTATGGGCATAACCCAGAACTTGGCTGCACACCTCCAAACCCCTTCAGCAGGATCACTGCTCAGCTTATTTCTGCGACGGTTGTTCTCACGCTGCGGCGCTGTTCAACACAGAGGAGCTGTAGTAAAAGAGCCCGGCAAAATTAAACCTGCAGCTTTGTGATTTGTGCTTCGGTCTTTGAATGCGAGCATGGCCAGCTTTGCATCAATCGCTTGACATTTGCTTTTGGGACCAAGGCCGGCAACGGGGACCCAAGAGACCCGGAGCAGTAGTCCTGGTGTGGCTCCAAGACAGGCTCACATGTCTTGCAATATCAATGTGCTTGACGGGCCCCTTTGCGGGTATATACAGTGAAGAGCACAGGCTTGGAATCGGAGACTGTGAGCTCCTGCGGTTTTGCGCATTCCGAGGCGCCAACGAGGGAGCTTGCAGCACAGATTGCTGGCGAGGCGTGTGCAATTGGGGACAAGGGCATATTGCCTTTCGTAGTGCAGCATCAAAGTCTCTTGCGTTGCGTGGCGAAAGCACAAGCAAGTTTGCCGAAGCCTCAGAGAGTTGCGCTCACTTGGCAAGGCGTCCTGGCTGGTGGCAGGGACTTCTATCAAAGTCGCAGCCATCTATGGAGGGGTGTATCTTGGGTGCAGATCATGCATTCAACTTCTTCATGGTTCTTGCTGGGGGCAGGCCTGCGTGGGCTTTCGTCCTTGTGCATCCTGTGAAGCTTTCTTGAGGCCTTACAAGACCACTCGCGATGCCCTTCGAGGGAGGGCCGACCTTCTGGTTGCCACGCCGGGGCCCGAGCAGATCAGGTGAGCCGTTCTTGGAAGTACGAATGGACATCATCCGTTGAGGTGAGACAAGGTCTGTTGCAAAAAAGTCGTACAACCAGGTAAGAAGATGTCACAATGCATACGCATCCTTTCTTACTATCTTAAACTGTGTCTTTCCTACAGGGTTGCTGGTTCAAGTTTGTGTACTATCTTCAGACCCGCATGCCCCGATGCATTCAGCTCTGTACGACCCCTAAACACAGAAGTCCACATACTTTGACGGTTCACTGAGGCCAGGGCGTCTTGAGGATGCCTGCGATCGAGGTGACAGGGCCATTGGCTTTTTGTTTTGGCGCTTCAGACCTTGACATGTCATAGTTCTAGATCTCTGATGCATTGGCCGAACCTGTCGCGTTTAGCACGCAGCCGTTGGCAACGTGTGGAGTGCAAACAGCTCGCGGCCTGACCTGGATCCTCTGCATTTTGAGTGTCTAGTGGCATTCTGTGTTGGGTGGAGGTGGCGAGGAGTATCCGTTTGTGACGCCTGCGCTGGCGAACGGTGCTCACATCCCTGTGCAGCTTTGCTGGCCAAAAAAGAATCTGCTGAAAGATGTGGTCGCACTTTCTCTCGACGGTCGGTTTCCATTTGAATTCAAAACTGCAACCTGAGTGGAGTTCGAGGTTCGATGTCCTCGGGGAGTCACACGAAAATTGAACCTGAAACTGGGCAACAGGGATCTCAGGGCCTCGCCTGTCACATGGAGACTCAACCGGCAAAGCAGAAAACTGTGGAACATGAGGCAGAAGCGGATTTTGTGCCGTTTCCAGTGATTCTATTAATCTTGTTCATTTTCTGGCAGTTTGGTCGTTTCAGGAGATGTTGTACTTCGAGACGTGGAAGCCGCCGTCCTTGATGAGGCGTCGTGGGTCCGCCATGGTCAAGTTCTGAATTGCGCTCGCAGCTGTGTGTACTTACTGCTATCACACATTCTGTTTCTGCCCTGGCTCGTACTGTAGCTGTTACTAGCTGAACCGCTGTAGTACCATGCGCCATGCGCAGCAGCCCTTGGTGCCTGCCGACTGGTTGCTCCTGCACAAACCGCTGGCACCATCATCATTTCTGCTGCTACCGCCCATGTCACAGCGGCAAAAAATCACCATCACCACCATTCCTACTCTTACCTTAGTGGTGGATGGTAGGGAATCAGGGAATATAATCCCTATACACCCCCTGCAATCTGTATAGTATGTTCCCTTGTTCGCTACTAACCCTCAGTAAGTTACTCATGCTGCTACTGCTCTTGCTATTGTTGTTCCTAGTTCCACTTCCACACCTACAGCTCCTTTTGCCGACGTGCTACCGCTGTTACAAGAGCAGCGCCGCTGGTACTGTCATTTACTGGGGGTTAGTAGGGAACAAGAGAACATGTTATGCAGGGATTCTGTTCCCTTATTCCCTACTAACTACCCGTAAGGTTACTGCTACCCCTGCTGCTCTTTCTGATGCTGCTGATCAAAGGTAGCGCTTCTTGTCACGTAGGTGTCGCCAGAAGCATGTGTCGCTAGTCAAGTGCAAGGGTGCGAGCAGTCAGAACAGTCATACTTGCCAGGCGGACAGGATGCTAGACCTAGGCCAGGAGCCTAGCCTTTCAGGTTTTGATAGTCTTGAACCTGAGCAAGCTGGAGAGCTGTTCTGAGGCTTTGAGGATCAAATCCGCATTCTGCTCACGAGGCGGCAAGTTCAGTCCTTGCAGGTCTCTGGTTTCAGTTGCGCGATCAGGCGCATGCCACCAACAGGTCGTGGGCGACAGCCTCCTGACTCAACTTAACATGACTCTTTGCTGATCAAAGATGTTGGCCTCAAGCCAAGATTCTGCATTCGGACGCTTCCCTCCTCCAAGAAAAAAGATAGAACCGGGTTGCAGCATCCGATGCACAGGACGGCGATGTTCAGCGCCACCTTCGGTCCTGGAGTGTCAGGGCCCATGACAGGGCCGTCCATGACACAAGGCTGTTTGTGCACCTCCCTGTCAAGGCAGCACCTTGCTGCAGACTTCCTGGATGCTTACACCTTTGTGGCTGTGGGCCGTGTTGGTGGAGCAGCACGAACCGTGCGCAGGGACTTCTGTGCAAGGACACGTGATGACGCGTGCCTGTCTGGTTCCGGCAGGTCGAGCAGCGTTTGGTTTGGGTGGAGGACCAACAGAAAGCCCAGGCCAGAAGCCGTTGGCCAAGCATGATCTCTCCGCGCAGATGGAAAGGCACTATTGGGCACGCTCCTCGCGTTGGAGAACAGTGTCCAGGGGCCATGCAGCATTCTCGTGTTTGCAAACACAAAGGACGCATCCCGAGATTTTTCACTGTGAGCTTCTAGTCACTCTAGTCTGCGGGAATGAAGACCTTCCTGTTTCAGGATGGAGTGAGACTCATTGAGGGAAAGGTTCGGTCTTGGAATTTCCGTGCTTTCTCCATTCACGGAGACAAGAAGCAGGACATGTGGCAAAAGCATTCTTGTCTTGTCTTTGTGGTGAACATTGGAGGATGCGAGGGAGAAGGCGCTGCACCTCTTTCGCCAGCATACAGAGGGCCACGGCTCGAGGTTCCGAAGTCGGGGTGTCTAGAAAGGATGCTGTCTGTACCTGAACTGAGGGGCAGAGCTGCGGTGTTGGTGGCCACAGATGTTGCGGCACGGGGCCTGGACATCCCCGACATCACGTGCGTGGTGCACTTTGACTTGCCGAAGAGGCGAGGCTCAGTGCGACGGCTGCGTTGGACAATGTCAGCTAGTCAGTGGTTGCTAGTTGCGCAGGATTGATGACTTTGTGCCGGGGCACCCAGATACCCAGTGGCTGAAACTTTCAAGCCAGTGCCTGGCAAGCCAGGCACCGCTCTGGGCGGACTGGCCGTCTTGGCAGGCCGTCGCTTCAAAGTCCGAACATTAGCTTTCAGAGGCAAAAGTTGTCTGAGGAAGGGCATCTCCATTGGATTCGCAAATGCTCAAGCAAAGGGACCCCGCCCCAGAACCTTTCAGCCTTGGGATGGCTTCGGTAGAAAACAGCGGAGCCGCGAGGACTGAGCAAAGACCTCGCCAAATGCTTGGCAGAAGCCGGTGCAAAGGCATGGCTCCTGGCAGTACTTTGGCAGCACGGCGATAGGGTCTATGGGGGCTTTTCTTGAGGTCCCTTCTTGGCTGCTGGGCATGGCCATCTCCTTGGGTGAGGACCTTGAAAGCCTGCAGGCAAAAGCGGCAAAGCGCAGAACATTGTGAAAAGAAGAACAAGAAGCCCGACTGGAGTTTGACGTGTGCCCGGATGCAGGCCATGGAGCAGAGCTCTGCAGGAGGCAGAGCCAGGTATGAATCCTAGAAGTGACCTCTTGGCCCCTCCCCCTGGCCTCCAGGAGTCTACGGCGCGCAGGACGTCCGCTTGCAGGGTGCCGGTGTTTCCGTCTTAACAAAACGAATTTTTTGAGCACGGGCACTATGCAGCGAGCAGTGATGCAAGACAATCCCAGGTTCAAACAGCTGCTGAGCGCCGAGAAGCGCAGAAGCTGCGAAGCTTTGCAGAGGAGAGAGAAGCCCTGAGAATGGCCAAAGACCATTTTGGACAGATGCTCCGCAGGATGCTTACAGTGACGTCATCGATTCCGACAAGCAGCAACAGAAAAACTGTCTTATGTGGTTGATGTTTGCGTTTGGTAACAGAATCCCGAGTGATTGGTCTTCTGCTTATGCTTCTTCCACTGCCAAGCAGACGTTCTGTCCCAACATGCTACTAGCACTGCACTGCTCTCACCCACCAAAGACATAAGAGAAGCTGGTTCTGGGTTTGGACAGGAACAACAGATCACCATGCAGCTTTTCAGAGTTTCGCACCCGCAAGCCTAAGCAACTTCAGATGCTTTCGTCCCAGCTATCGACGTGGACCCAAGAATCACCAGCCCAGCTTAGAAGCACCCATTGCATGCTCTTTCCTTGCTTGGGCATTCAAGTTGTCAACAGCTATGCCACACTCGGACTGTACGGATCTTGGAGAACAATTCGTGCAACATCCTCATTTGATGTGTGGCCTTGCTCGCACACTTGGCCTGTCAACTCCGCAAGAAGTAGTAACTAGTACCCTGACTCACACCGGTCAGTCGCATGACTTCATGAATTTCATGCAGCTTTGACAACGAGATGGCCGGCTTATTTTGCTGCCGACGATGGCGCCGCTATCAGGACTCCCTGTGAAAGCTTGCGGTAATATAGATGGATAGGCTCGGAAGGAAACAGCTCCAGCCGAAGACAGCAGTGAGGCCACGGTGCCCAAAGACGTTCTTGTCTGAGAGTCTCACGGCAGACTTTCCTTGCCCTTTCGTTCCTGCAGCACTTTGTGCTTTACAGCCTAGGCTGCGGTTCGTTTGAGGCCACTTTGCATTGTGGCTACGCTTGTATGTTGCCACATGCTTTATGACACTTTGCTTCTTGTGACGTAAGAGGGCGGCTCAAGTCCAGATGGCCGCCTGGCCAAAAGCCTCTAGCTTTGCCTTGTCCAACTGGCATTGGCATTGGCATGGCTGATCTTCACGCACAGCAGCCTGGGCCGCCCGGGCAGCCTGGGTCCGCCCTGCACATTGGAGGAACGGTGCCAAGGCAGCATGAATTCACCGGTCCATTGCGTTATGCCGTGCCTTAATAGTTGTGCGCGGTACGTACCCCACGGATGCACGGTTGTGTTTGGCATTCATGGACGAACTATAGTCAGGCACCTTTGCTGTTTCAGCGTCATGAGCATCCGAGAAGGCTTCGGTCAACCTTGAATCATGTCTGCTTGCTATGGGGTGGCTCTTGGCCCTGGCAGACGGCTTATATCCCATCAAGCTGTTCCGCGGAAGCGCGATGACCTCGGCCTGCCTATCCGATACCGATGGAATTCCTGAAGTCCTCAGCATGACGTCTAGGCTTCCGCAAGCCGTCGGACCCCCAACAAAAAGCAGTTGTGAGCGAGATGCTGCAGTCCGAGATGCTATGCTGCAAGCAGTGTTGCAGAGAGCTGGTGTGTAGCATGATTGAGCAGCCGTGGACAGTTGTGCTCTTCAACTTGCGGGAAAGGACGGAGGAGGGCATTCTGCAGGCAGTGCAGAGGCATCCTGGTGAGAGTCAGAGCTCCCCTTGCGTTGCATGGCATAGTTCTTGGTGGTGTAAGCGTTCGTGGCTCAGGCTTCTGGAGATGGGCTATCTTTCTAGTGCCGCTAAGTGGCAGTGTATTGAAATGACCGTGGCGTTTTCCATGGTCAGAGTTGATGGTTAGTACTGAGGCGCATGATTATACCAGCGTGGTCATCGCTTTCTCTCGCAAGCACTTCTGGGAGAGGGCTTGCGATGTCCTTTCGCAGATGCACGCCCGCCACTTGGATTCGCTTTCAGGGTGAGTGTTGACTTTGAGACATGAGGTCAGGAACCAAACTTGACCAGGCAAGCTAGTCGTGAAGCCAGTGGCCTACAACAATGCCATGAATGCGTGTCTGAAACGGGATCAGTGGCTCCAACCAATACAACTGCTGCGAGACATGAGATCCTTGGCTTAATTGCAGTGATTCACTCCTGACCTTATGCTATGATGAGTGCGGTTGCTGCTCTACTGCACTAAGGAGAGCGAGAAGTGGTGCGTGACCTATTCTCCTACACTAATGCGCTGACAGCTTCCAGCCGGGTAAGACGCTTCATCGCATTGGGCGTGAAGTCTTGCAAATCCTTGCTTCTTTGGGGAGGCAGCTGAGGTGCCTGGCAAGAAGCACTGAGGTTCCTGTGGACCATGGTGGGGGACAAAGTTGCCCCCGACATCATCGCATTCAACGCGGCCGGGGACCTTCGAGTTTCAACGGCCAAAATACATGGTGCTGTATACCTGTTCCAAGCCTAACTCGGCTAAGTCATGGAGAAACATCTACACGTCGCCTTGTGTGCAGCCTATGCCATGATCTCAAAGATTGCGAGGCCTTTGCCGCTTGTGAAGGGGCGGGCTGTTGGCAGTGGTCGCTTCAACTGTTGAAGGCTTGCGAGCACGTTGCAGAGAACCTACATAAACAAAGCCCCAATTGGCTTCGTGAGGCTTTAGGTCAAGCACACTTGAAGCCCGCTGCCTGGCTGCAGGGTGTCATTTCGCTTGCGAACTTCCGTCTGCTTGCTTTGAAAAACATTTTGAACCCTAGTGCGGCTAGCCTGACACCACCCACTGTTGCTAGCGCTAATCGCTGCTCTTGGTTTCATGTGAGGCAAAATCCTGCCCTGCAGCCAAAAGTCTTGGGGACATCTAGTGAATCTGGTGCCAAAGCCTTTGGAAAGGGGGTAAGCTAAAAACGAAAGCCTGCAAATTTCTCTATGCTGTATTAGCCTCTGGACTTAGCCGGTAGCTCATGTAGAAATTCCTGATCAAACCGTGAGCATCTTTTTTTGTTTCTAGCGGTCCTTGCAAACCTACTGGTTCGAAGCCAGCCAGCCTGTAATTACCCAGGATGACGTGACCTATCGATCCGTCACGCGAGTGCTCGAGTCTCCTGTCTTAATTATATTCGAGAGATTGGCCCAAAGTGCAGGCAGAAGTACTTGGCACTCTGCAATTGGAGTCCCGCAATGTGCAGTTTGACACATTGGTGAGCCCGAAAGGACGGCAGAGCAGCAACTCCGAGAACTGCGACTGCGGCTGCCGCGCGTGGACTCAGTGGAACCGGGCTCGCCGAAAAGCTGCGAAGGCAAAGTTCCCCAACGACGATTTCTCGTTGTGGCACATTCCGTCACTCTTGCTAGGTACGACTGGCCGGCTGCACTTCTGCATCGTGCAGTGTGATGATCTTGGCCTGGAGGGATGGTCCCTGGCAGCCGGCAGCAAGCACCGGCGATGGGCTGCTCAGCTTCGTTTCTCCGCTTCGTGAACATGTCGTGCAAGGGCTCGACGCGGAAGCCGATCCAAGGATACGCTCCTGCACTTCGACTGAAGGCTGTGAAAGCATCAAGCTTGCAAGAGGCTTTGCGGTGAGCACTTTAAGGCTGGGATTGCTGCAGTGCTTCATGATGGATGGGCAATGGCTGCGTGGCTCAACTGCATCTAGAAGACGTCACCAGATGTTTTGGTACTTGTAGTAGTTGGGGGCACGAGGAGATGTGGCAGCACGCTTTTCGTGGGCCCGGACTCTCTCCACACTACTGGTGCTCTCCAGCCACTTGTGCTGCTTGGCAGATGCTGGATGAAAACCGCTGAGATAAGAGACGAAGATATACGAAGATGCTGCGACAGTGACTTCTGGACTGCAGGATGACCGCGCTCGGTCAGGGTCAGGATGGCAGGCCGTTCTATCAGCCTGCGACTCTGAAAGCTTTCGAGGAAGCCCTTTGGAGGCAGCGGGGTCAGGCCAGCAAAGGGCTTGAAACTGTAGCATGATGTTGGCCTGTAGCAGACCTGGGTCATCACCCATATTCAAAATAAGTACAAATCTTACGACAGTGATCCAGTGGTCACAGGATGCCTCACACAAGACTAGGCTTACAAGGCCAAGGGCTCCAGATCAGGTGTCCGGGATGTTGGGATTTCTAGTCCCGCATTTCAGGCTGGAGGCTTATTTGCATGAAGGTGGAAGTTTTCCTACCCTCCAAAAGACTGGCTCGCGATGAAGGCAGTGTTTTCAAAACAGCTCCCTTCATGGTCCAGAAATGTAATGCACAGAATCTGAGCATCCAAGTCCCGATTCTGGGAGGATTGTCCGGGCCTTCGTTGGCAGCTCTCCAAACACCGCCCGCGCACGGAGGAAACTCGAGGTCAGCAGACCCAGTACTCACCTGGAAGTTGATCACCTTCTGTGGTTTGGGTGGTTTGGGTCTAGTTTTGCAGGCTCTATTCTCGAAGCAGGCAAAGGTGCAAGTTTCGTAGCTCCACTTATCATCATAAGCTGTGTCGTGCATTTTGCCACGCAGCTTCTGTAAAGAGTTGTAGTAATGATACCGGGTGCGAGGGTCAGCGCAGAGATATGAGTCACCAGGACAACAAGCATGCTAGTTGAAATGCCTGATGCTCCTCAACAAAGGAAGGTCCCCGCCCAAGTGCTTCGACAGAGTCGGTCATGTCAGGGGGCAGGGGTCAGACGGCTCGGCACGCAAACCACAAGTTACTGACGATGGTTGCATAACGAAACATCTTTGTTGGTGCAGCAGCACTGCTACACTGTTGCGGGATGTATTGTGCATCCTGCACTTAGCACACGAGCTTTACTCCTCTCTTGTATAAGGGATGTGTCCAACTGCCGCTCTGCTTGGGAGATTAATCCTTACGAAGCCAAGGCATGCTTCTGAAAGGTCTGGAGGAGATCTTGGAGCAAATCCCGCCGAAGGCCAGAGTGGGCATGACTTGCAGTGACTGCCCATGCAACAGCCGGTTACAAAAAGGGATCGTCTGCATGAGCACATAATTTGTGAGCACATACGCAGATGCGCGGACTGGCTTTTTGAGGTCAAGGCCGGTGTGCTGGTGTTTGATGCCGACGCAACACTCACGTACAACGAGCTGAAGAGATCTAGCTGGACAGCCCGAGGGTATGACAAGCTGCTGCTGGCCTGCACTTCAGAAGGTCGCCACAACCTGGGTTGCTGTAAGGGAAATTAATTAACGTTATTGCATTGCGGGACCATATTAAGTACTGTATATACCCATTATGGTGACTTAATTTTTTCCTTAACGGCAACCTAGCAGCTGACTGCCACGGTGTGTTCCTCCTAATTCATGGCCTATGCAACCTGAAGGTTCATCCTCGTTGGCGGTGCCCATGGTTTTGATGGGGCCAACGATGAGGACGGAAGTTTCTTGGAGGAGGTCTTGCGTCTTTTCGAAGCCTACGTCGGACCGGACAACGTGGCAAAGGTCACCCTGACAGAAGATGCCACAGCAGCTTACTGGCATTAAGTGGCATCCCACCGTGAAACCCGGAAATTCCACAGAAGAGGGCGCAGAACTCAGGCCGCTACAACCTTTCCGCTGTCCAAAGTTGTCAGCTTCGTCAGCGTGGAGCATTGTGGTGGCAATTTGCTCAGCGCGGAGAAAAGAGCTTTGCCCTCTGTTGCCCCGTGCTGGGACGTGGATGATTTGAGAGCGCCAGAGCTCTCGTCAGGCGCTCGGAGCTGGTACAGCAGGAGGCCCGATGATGACTGATAGCCTCACAGCTGCCGATGTTCAGCTGCATGCATTCTGTGCTCGTGCTCCAGCAGGCCTTCAGTGAGAGCGAGCTGAAGCAGGCCGGGAGTTTTGCTGCTCCAGCCATGGGGAATCCACCGGCGCACCTGCAGTTCCGAGACATGTACAAACACCTGAACCTCACAGACTGAGAAGCCTGCTGATGTGACTGACACTCACCTTTGAACGGGCATTAAAACGGGCCATGCTGAATGATGGCAGCCCCGTCTCGTTCAGCCTGATGGAAGTGATGGTCTCGCACTTGCAAGATGAAAGAGGAGCTGAAAAGGTGTTTGCGGATGACGCACTGCTTGATCTTTGCAGGGAGAAGGGAGCTCAGAAGCCTCGCACTTTCCTAGACTTCGCAGCCACGAAGCACGTCCAGTCGCGAGAGCCGACACTTGGGCTCAGTCTGTTTTATATGGCAGCTTGACATGGCAGCCGGCCCCACCTAGACCTAGAGACCTAGACTTATTAGCTTGCTGAAGACGGATGAGCAATGCCAGCAGACGTACAGATGGAGACCCTGATCTTGTGCCAGAAGAAATCCCGCAGGACTGGGTCATGAACGCAGTCTGCTAGCACGTGGTAGGCTTTGGATGCAAGAGCAGAAGCTTTGTAGCACATATGTAAGGACTTCGTCCTGGGCTTGGTCTTGGCGCCAAGCGCTGGGGGCAAGACCACAAGCCTCCGCGCCCTGCAGCGTGAGCGAGGTTTGGGGAAGAAAGAACCTGAAGGGGCTAGCTCCTTGGCAGACGGAGGGGTGATCAGTGCCTGCAGGCCTTAGGCTCGTGCTCCTGCAACTGCCCCCACCCATAGCCATCAGATTGACTTTCCCCAAGTAGGCCACTGTAACTTGCATTGTTGGACCTCTTGCAGCTTCAGCGGACGGATTTGGAGGCCTTCAACTCAAGCTTCCTACCTCCTAGGAGATGTTGCGCTGCCCCCGGTGGCAGACCCGCGCTTTGAATCAGCAGAAGCGGCAGTGGGCCGGCTGGCTGCTGCCGGGCTCTGCTCCGTTCCTGCTTGGTGCGCTCGACTGGAATTCCAACTTGAGCTTGAAGCATCTGCAGCTTGCTGTGCTTGATTTGCAGCTTGCTGTGAATCTGAGGTGCCGTCCGTACTGGGCCCTATCGCACGGCGAGCGCAGCCGAGTCGATTGTGCTACAGCTTTGCAGGCCAGACTCGCATGGCGCACGGTGCCAAACACGTGCTTCCATAGTCTGCGGGTGGGTTAAGCATCAGATGAGATGGCTGCCGGCATGTGTGTGTGTGTGTGTGTGTGTCTGTGTGTGTGTCTGTGTGTGTGTGGAGATCGAGAAGGGCGGCATGAGCACATGGACGCTTGGCGCATTCGCGGCCTTCGCGGATGGGCTTTTGTTAGTGGGATGGCTGATCCTGCCCTTGCACGCTAGTCACTACGCTAGTCCGCCAGTCCTCTCTTCAACAGACCAGATTTGGACTGAGCGGTGCCACGTGTCTGATTCATGAATTAAACCTTGGTAGGAGGGTGCTCTGCTGGACGACTTTGGCGCCTTCACAGCGCGTGGGCAAGCCAGGGCGGCTGCTGCGGCATTGTGCCGCTTCGTGCGCAGCCAGGCGCGTGAGGGGTGCTGGTGATGGCATGACACGTGCGGATGCTTTCAGAATTGCACCTGCTTCGTAAGACAGGGCCTGCGGAGGATTGTGGTCGCTGCCAGCGAGCCTCGGAGAAAATATCCTCAGAGAAAGTCTCGAGGGATCCGTTTCCAAAAACATCAGGATGAAGACTTGGTGCCCTGGCTGGCCCCAGACTGGGTGTGGCTCCCCCATTGCAGGGAGGTGATTCTCATTGGTGATAGATGGTGCCTGGCCTGCATTCCAACCTGCTGGTTGGCTCCGTGTGGAGCATCGTGCAAACATGTTCAAATTATCATTTTGGTGTTCAGGCGGCCGAAGCTGGAGTTCTGCTGCTTGGACGGCAGATGATGCGCTTCTCCTCCGGGCAAAGCCTTTGTCCTGGGCAGGTCTCGCAAACGTGCAATCCACCCCATCTCGTTGGAGTGGCTATGCAGGCGCACATTGTGAGCAGATGACAAGAAATTGTCGAGTCGAGCCTCATCCAAGGCAGGGCCATTGAATTCCCATGAGACACCCTCCGCCAAAGCATAGCTATGACACAGCTGACGTGAACGCGCAACTTCAGGCTGACCTTGGTGGAGGAGCGCTTCGACTTCCGCTCGCAGCATCAAACCATACAGTTGCCGAGACCCGGCCGAATCTCTCACAATCGTATGAGTCTCATGGTCACCGTTATAGCATTTCAGAGCCTCATGCAATGCCACCTTAGGATGCTTCCCAAATGGTTGCTGGCCTCTCAGCCGCAGACGTCAGTCTGCAGCAGATCCTTGTGTCACGCATGGTGGCGGAAGCCAAGGAGGACGAACAACCAGGTTTGGGGGTGATTTTCGGGCCATCCGGCTGTGGAAAGACAACTGCTTTGCAAGCATTCCAGGCCGCCCGCTAAGCTGATGTAAAAGCTTTTGGTTCTCCAAAAGCTTGAGCTACAGGTGCCTGCGGCATCTCTGCCATCTTCGTCTGTAGCAGGCTTGACACTTGCCTCCTAGCAAGGGCATTCCGTGATTGGGTCAGAGCCTTGCGAGCTCTTTATCTAATTCGTCCTGCAGCCGTTTCACAGACAAGCCCAGAGAGCCCGTTGTGGGCAGCATGTCCTTCAATCTACGGCCGGTGGCCCAGTGGCCGCACTGTACATGCTTTGCAATTATGCCTTGCGGCATGTGCAGGAGGATAAGCAACCCATGCATCTCCACGGGGCGCAACTCGACCATCATCATGGACCCGGTCGCAGCCTTTGGCAACGTCCTCCCGTGCTGACCCAGATGCTGCCTCACTGCCTGTGCAAGGATTGGCTTGGAGGGAAGACAACGTCCACGGTAAAGCCAAATGTCGGTGCCCAGGCTGCAAACAGCTGACCCTTCAGTGCCCAATCACCCAAATTCCTACTGCCGGGGAAGTCCAGGGCTCTTTGCGGTGAACGGATACAAATGCCGCCCACCCAAGCGGACTGGACCGAAGCCCGCGGACGTGCGACGCCTGTCGGCCCCAGCATCCCGGCATGTCCCGGCAGAGTTGGATTTGAAGGTGAAGCTGTCTGTTGGTGAGTGGTCGGCTGGTCTCAGGCACGGCTACTTCCCAAGGTGCAGTCTCTCCCAAACCTGCAGGCGGCAGAGTAGGGCAGAGTCAATCACCGCTCACTGACTTGTGCCATCCAATTGGGCTTTGAGGCGCAGCCCGGGCTGCGAGGTGGGCTGGTGAGAGAGACGGAACGGCGAACCTCAAGAACTTCTCGTTCTGCTCGGTGCAGGTGAGCGCCTCCCTGGCTTTTGGCCGCTGGAGGTAGGATTCTTGCGCAACTTCGTAATGCCGCGAAGCAGCTCTGGTTCAGGGCGGTGTGAAGGAGAATCAGTGCCGCTGAGTTGGGCTTGCTTGCTGAATTCGATGCTTGTAAATGTGAAGGCCTTCAAAGCCCTTGCGTACGTCCAGTGCATCCAAGAGCTTTTTGTGCATCGTTGACAGAACCTGGGTAGGGCCTTCGCTGTGTGGATGTAGCCGATCCCTCGGTATAGGCTGAGATGTCGGTATGCCGCATGCAAGCCTTGCAAGCCTTGGCTTTGCCTTGGCTTTTGTACAGGTTTGAGCTGGGCTTAGCTGATGGGAGAGTCAACCAAGACCTGCCGGACAGCCGTTTGGCAGAGCACTGTCCTCCTGCGTCGGAGGTCTTGAGCCACGCTTTTTCGCCGCTGCCCCTTCAGCCACAGATGCCAAAGAGGGTGGTTGTTGCTAAGTATGACGCCGACGCCACCTGAGCAGGAGACCCGCATGCTCAAAAGCTGAGCACCTCGCTGGAATGGGTTGGTGAGATTTATTGGTGGCGCGGGGTTTTCGCTTGCAGGACACAGATACTTAAAAAGGATCCGAGATGTGTGGGTTGGGTCATTCCCCTGAGACTTCAGATTTGCGGCAGGCATCCTGGAGGAGGCTTTGGAGCTGCTGGGCCTTCCTCAGGCACTGGGTCCTGGGTGGCTAGAATGCACAATGGCTCACCAAATTGTTCCAAAGTCTGCTGCAGAGAACGACAGTTCCTATTCAAAGATACAAAGGGTGGTCGACTATGCAGTAGTGTCATCTCAAATGCTTGCGGTGTGCGTAGGAAGCAGAGGGCCCACAGAGCACAAGCGAGTTGCACATGCCTCATGGCTGCATTTAAGTGGGGATTGACTTATGTTGGGAGGATTTACACCAAAACCAATCCAAGCGAAAGCTGAAGGCGTGCTGTTGCAGAAGCAGTGGTAAATGGTCTGCCTCTCAGACTTATGTGTCGCTCAAGACGGGCATTGGCCAGATTTTCGATGAAGAGCCATTGCTCCGGGCACGACTCCACCCCTTATGTATTCACAGTTCCGGCTTACACGGGGGTGAGTCACAAATCCAGAGATATGAGCGGGGCTATGTAGGAGCCTCAGGTGGCCACACGGTAATTCTGGACGAGCTGCTTGGCGGCTTTTCCGGCACCTGAGCGACATGACCTTTGGCGGATCTCAGGTTTGGTTCGCAGCTCGTCGCCGGCTGAGCCTCGTGCCAGTTGCAAAAAGTCTTGCATGTCTGTTTTCGTCATCCAGGATTGGGCTCGCCGGCGCAGGCTGTGTCTGGGCTTGCGCGAGCTTCTACAGAAGCCGCCGCTAGCATCCAAGCGCGTAGTGGTCCCAATCTTACCACAGACACCTTCTGGCATGTCCCTAGCCAGAAGTACTGGCCCTGCGAATAAGGCTGCAACCCTGCACGCTGAAGTCGTGGATTTGTTGCAGCCTCGCTGGCTTCTGGACGTTTCCTCTGCCCAGCTGTGGCAGAGGACTAGCCAGACAAAGGAGCTCTTGCGATTTGACATTGCCGGTGCTTTCGGTGAGCAGCTTGGAAGCAACGTTGACAAATACATCCGTATGAATGGCTTCCTCTTTGAGAATTCAAGAAATCGAAATCGTGTTGAACACAGGAGCTGGAACTCACCCAGCCATCTGCGCCGCTCGCTGAGGGTGCGAGTTTCTCGCCAGAGAAGGCTCCAAAGCAGCCTGCTGCCTCACTTTGTTGCATGTGTGTCCCGCTACTTGCTAGAGATTCAAAGGGAGGAGAAGACTTCGCCGACTTGCTGCCGCAGCCTCTCTCAGCTCGGAACGCCGACCGAGCCATGCAGGCAAAGCCGGCCATGGTGGGGGCCCACCCTCATCAGGGGCCCAATGGCCTTGGCCCAGGCTCTTTGCATGGCCTCAGGGGTGAACATGGGTGAGACAGTTTTGAAGCCGTGAATTTCTCAACAGGCCATCATGGACTTGACAGCCACACTGATGTGGATGCGACAATGAATGCATTCTCCCAGTGGCTCAGCGATTCTTGGCGAAACATGCTGTAATTGCATGCGGCCTGCTGACCCAATGCTGCTGCTTGAAGGAAATGAAGGCTCGATCAAACAGCAGCCTGTGCCCAGACTGAATGATAAAGTCTGTACTTACTGTACTTCTCATCCCGCAGTGGGGGTCGGCGTGGTAAGTGGCTTTCAGGCAAGCAATGATGGCCGAGATGAGTGTGATACGAGATGGTATCACCTCGAACAGCGCAGATCTCACTGAGTGCCCCGCTGCTGCTCTTCCTTTCATATTAGTATTATTCTTATTGCTAGTGGAATCAAGATTCGTAGTATCATCATGACTGTTAATTTGTATAAATGTTCATGTTGTTCAGCTTGAGGACTTGAGGGCTGCCAAATTATACCTGCCAGGTACAAGAGGCATTCGATATCTGTACAGCAGCAAATGCAGTCACAACTCACTGACCTTCGTGAGAAGCTTACGAAGCTTGGCAGAAGTGAGATCTCCAGAACCACGGTAGCCAGCTGTGTACCAGCACTCTTCTTCTCAGTCATCTCCCCCGACACTGAGCCCAGGAGCGCGTTCACAGAGATAACGTCGCTCGTGAAGCAGAAGGCTGCCACGGATCAGGCTTTGGAAATCCCCTAGCAGCTTTCTGCATTTTCGCTTGCCCTTCCCGTGCAGGAGCTGCTAAGTGAGATCCACGCACTGGGCCGGCAGCTTTCCATGAAGACTGCAGAGCTAGAGGCACATGTGCATGGGAACCTGCGGGGCTGTTTTCACAGCATCGCGCAGGCCTTGAAGAAGTCCTACAGTGCGACGCACCAGCAGCTCCAACACAGCCTGGTGCAGCTGCAGGCCTGGATTGCGCTCATGCTACTCTGTGCAGCCATAATCGAGGGTACCACAGAATAAAAATGGCTGATATCGGGTCGATGCAGGTCGTGTCAGGGCTGTGTCCTTGTAGTTTGTTAGGGGTCCACAGGAGACAGATGGGGTCTCAGGACCGGCTATGCCTTCAAGTTTTTTCAATGCCATGATGGGGTATGTTCATGGCTGCTTTCCCCAAACTCGACGTTCTTTACCGTGGCGATTGATTTTGAAACATTGTTATTGAGGTGTTTAGACTTATGAAGTTCTGCTGTTGGGCAGTGAAGCCTAAGTCAGCCTTGCGACTGCAGGGGCAGCTGCAGTCCACGAGCAGCGAGATCGTGACGTCCAAGCGCCAGGTTCAGGTTGGCTCATTCAACTGACAGCCGTCGCAGTGCTGTTGCGCTGAATGTGGTTGGTTTGGAAGGCCACTTAGCCCACCCAAGCTTGCTTTGAGGCAGTGCAGGATAGCGTCCAGCACAAGATGAACGAGGCCCACCATGGGATGCTTCTCTCGAGCCTGAGCAAGTTTTTTCACTCACCAGACTGCCAGTTATTCAGATGCTGGGGTCTTTGGAGAGTTGGCAGGTGGAGCAGCTGATGGTGAAACTGCGGGACCAGGTCGACTCAGGTGGCCGCGAGGGCAATGCCACAGCTCGGACCCAAGCTTTGGGAAAAGTAAAAGAGGATATGTCCGGTTCGCAAGGTGAGAGTTGGCGAGAGGGTTCAAGCTTTGGGATGGTTGCGCTTGAGGCCCTCGCAGTGCAGGAAGACATCGCCAAGCTTCACGAGGCCTGCAGGGCATGTCGTGCGTCCGAGTTGCAGCGTAAAAGTTTGCTCCAAGGCCCTCACTGGCCTCTCTGGCGATTTCTTCGAGCACAAGCGGCTAACACAGCAGGTGCAGAGCAAGCTCCTTAACCAAGTCGAGGCCTCAGACAGCACGCTCGAAACTGGCACCAGGCAATGCGAAGCGCATGCGTTACACCGCTTCCTCCCGGGAGCCTTCATGGGTGGTAAGGTTGCCGCCTTGGAGGATGGGAGACAACGCTCCGCCTCCCTGCTGCCACAGGCCCGCTTTCCTGAAACGAGAATTTCTTGATGCCTTTTCAAGCTCCTTCACTTTGACAGGACGGCGAATACGCCGCCTGTGCGAGTGCCTCTCGAACATGAGCGGTCCGCGGCAGTTGGGTCTTTTCCTGCCAAATCTTGCATGTTTAGACATGGCAGGCGCAGGCCCTGGCGTAGCCGGGCATGTTCTGTTCAGTACCAGTTAATTATGAATGACACGTGCAAACGCGCGAGGTCTTGGGTAGCTAATGGACTTTGTGCGGCTCTGTGAACCTGCAGAAAGAAGAACCACTGCTCCTTTCGGGAGGGCTTACGAGTGTTGCTCCCTGCGATCAGGTGCGGGGCATCCAGCCCAGAGTGCTTCTCAAGGTCTCGTTGCTGCAAGACGCCAGTGCTTCCACTGCGTGGCGACGATATGCAGGGCCCTCACTGCCACTACCATCACTACCCTTGCCATCCGGCTGATGACTTGCGCCCAGGCCCGGCACCATTACCTGAGTGCACAGCTGAGCCCGGCGGCAACATGTGCAGAAGCGACCTGGGGGGAAACTTGGATGAACCTCTTTTAAGAATTGTCCCTCAAGCTGCCGCAGCTGCCGCAGGCTTGAGACTTTCAGCTCAGGATGAGCCCGTCGCCTTCGTAGCGCTCCTGCCTCGTGCCGGTGCCCTTGGCCAGCCACCCCCTCAGGATGACTTCAGAATCTGAAGGTGCGATGTTCCCTTATAAGCTTCTACGTATATGTGCGCCGCTGTGCGCCTGTGACTGTGCGCGTCACCCATGTCCCTCTTTACGAGTGAGTCTCCAGGACTGATGTGCGTGAGCACCGTCTGGTTGTGCTACCGGACTTCCAGGGCCTTGGGATCGGTCCAAGCCCCAAGGGCCCAAGAGCAATGAATTTGTGTGGAGGGGGTGGATGCGATCATGTTTTTTGATGCACAGCTGCTTTGACCGGTTCAGGTTTGGGGCTGTCGGAGTTCATGGCGGAGCTGGCCCTCGCACAAGGCCAGAGTTTCGAAGTCGTGGCGCCAAGGGATTCATTGGAACGTTGTGGTCACGCGAAGGATTCTTTGGCTGCATCCCTCCGATGCGGTGAGCAACTTATGTTTGCATGGAATGCTCGGAATGCATCGTAGGACGACAGCCTCCTCACGGCGCCGAGGTATTTCTCCAGTACCGCCCACTTCCACCTGGGCATGGCGCTTGTGCGGTTTGAGCCGGGCCTGCCAAAGTCACCGTCTTTGGCCCAGGATCCGCACGTGCTCGCAGCTCTCGCTGGACCTCCACACCATTTGTTGCAGTCTCAGCTGCGCGTCTGGCTAGTTATAATCCGCGGCGGGTGCATCTTGAAACAGGATGGAAGTGAAGCTGCAAGACCTGGTGATTCTCGAATACTCTTTAAGCATCTTTGCGAATTTTCAGCCCGGGGCGTTGCGAGCGCCAGCTAGCTGGATGTAGCTTGGTGCGTAGCTTTGTGCGCTGTGAGGCACATGTATGTGGGAGCAGCTGGGGCTCCGGCATATGCTGCAGAGGCCAATCACAAGGCCGGAGCCAAGTTCAACAGGAACTGACGGATGTTTCGCTCGTCACCTGCTGTGGACTTAGTTTTTTTCTTGGCAGGTCAAGGTTCCATCAGCAAAGATGCTGAAGCGGCGTGGCCGGCAGCAGGTTGAGGTAGATGATGCCACAGACGCTGGCGCATCAGAGGCGTGGCTGCCAGCGTCTGCAGTTACATCCAACTTAGGGCTCTCTGGCCTGTGCAGGCGCCACAGATGCTAAAGCTGCAGGTGGTCGAAGACAGGCAAAGGGGGTTGGAATGTCTTCCGTCGAGGTGGGACCCATTGCTTGAACTAGGTTGGCCTTATGGGCAACAACGCGCTTCGGCTGCACGTGGGTGAAAGGCGGTAGAATGCTTGTTCCTCATTGGCATCAGGTCGCCCGGCCTTGAGGAGTGCCTGACAGAGGCAGAATTGTAGAGTTGAGCTCAGCAGCGCGCTGTGCAGGATATCGTTGCCGAGGAGGCCCGTACTTGCCTCGGTTCTTTAGCTCGGTTGCTGCAGGTACTCCTGTGCTCTGTCCTCTAAGGCCGCAAGTTGCCAGAGCTGTCAGTGGAGGAAAAGAAGAACAGCGGTCGCATCAGCCTTTTCGGCCGAGAGGAGCAGGACAACACGTTGCTTAAAGAGCAAGGGTGGGCAGGGACAGGGTCTTTTTTTTGTTAATTTGAATTTCTTTCCTATCCTCTTTGCGTATCAGTTGGCAGTATGTCAAGAAAATTCGTTCAGGGATTCCAGAAAGTTCACCCACTCTTCGGATTTGTCATATGTTTGTTCAGGATTGTCGGTTGGACTTGGGAAATGGGATGCTTTCGAGGCATGCAAAATTTGACTAGAGATCACAGAAGGGTATGTAGGGCTTGGGGAAAGGTGGCATTGGTGGGTGGCATGGAACGGTGGGAATTCATGGTGCGCCCGTTTTGCGCCCACCTTTGCGACAAACTCGTGCTCACTTTCGCGAGCTCGCGTAGCAATGTAGCGTGCGCAACCCCCCAAAACTGTTCTCAAGCAGGGTCCGTGCCCCCAAACCCCTAGCAAGAAGGCTTTGTCCACCTGCTTCTCTGTGCCAGTATGTTTTTGTAGACATGGCTTGCAGCCATGTCGAAACCAACAGAAAACTGGTTGACACTTGCTTGGTGGATGGGTCCTGAGCAGTGTTCTTCCCAAACACCAATGGACAACTCAGGCCGAAGCATAGCAGTTTTCCTTTTTCTCTTTAATTTCATTTGTACGGAAAATTTGGGGAAAATATTGAGTGGGCTCGGAACTGGCTTGATGGCTTGGGCTTTGCAAGGGCTATCCCAGCGCCCAGCGCTAGGCTGGCCAGGTGGGCCATGACTTTTCGAGCAATTACTGGGGTTTGGCTGCAGAATCTCAGAACGGGCGCTAAATCCATACTCCTCCAGGCTCCTTTTTCGAGCCATTTTCAGGCCTCGAAGCCTCCCTTCTCGGCTCGAGATCAGGGCTTTTGGGGGAGGTCATCGCCCTTCTCTGAAGGCATCGCCTTTTAGTCGACGTTTGCTCCTCTTGAGCCTCAGGCTCCCCGTTGCCCTCGAAAGGGGCGCCCGTCTGGCCCATCAGCTTTTGTTTCGCAGCCACCAATCAGAAGTGCCCGGGTGCCCAACTGTAGCCGTACCCCGAACCAGTTGGCAGCTTCGGAAGTACAGGACTTTGGCCAAAACAGTTTTCCCCAATTGTTGATCCCTTTGTGCAATAATTTCTGTGTGCTTATCTTCCCAGTCCAGGCGGGCTGCGCGAGGAATTAATGGTGACAGCATCATGGGCTGTGTTCCGGTTAAAAGCATTGTGATGAGTATGCAGGTTTGATGAATGTGCATATGTGGAGTCTCTTGAGGGACTTGATTACGTAAGTTGAAGGAACAAAGCAGACGCAACAAAACTAGCAAGTTCCAACAAAATCTCCTTGTCTGAAAGCTAGGACCTGAGAACGCAGCTGGAACAGCTCGTGGCTCCCGAGCGCATATACGTCCAGGTGTGGTGGATCAATCAGATCTTGATTTTCAGCTCTAGGCCGCTAGCTGGCAAGCTTGTAGGTTGCCTGTGTTTCTCTCGGAGGTGCCTGTGGTGGGCTGAGCTTGTGAAGTGTCACGATCTGCCTCCTACTGTCTTTGATTCTCCGTGTGCCGCCGCGCGAGTTGATGAAGCTTTGCTGCGCGAGTTCGCCGGCATGCAAGCTTTGGGTGCTGCCCTGCATCGTGGGGCCAGGTGCGAGCTCAGTGCTTGGAGCTTTGAGAGCTTAGGGTTGTGGTGTGGTAGGTTCTGCTTGGGCGCAGAGAAGGCAGCTGACTCCTTGGCCATTTGCCCGCATGTCACGTCGCCCGGGCCAGGCTAACCCCAGCTTTCGGGTGACCTGCCGACGAAGCGGTCCGCGTGTCGTAGGCGCGGAACCAATCGAGGTACTTTGGCAGGTTGCTTCATGCCTCCTGGCGGCGCAAAGGCTCCGACGCGGCTGCATCTGCGATTGCCTCTGGAATCGAGGCAAGCATTGGCATCGGACTCAACAGCAGCAAGCTGTGGAAGTTTCTGCTTGAATGTCTTCTTTGGGTTGAGGAAGCCTAGTGACAGTGACACTGCTGCTTGCACCAGGATTCAGCAAAGCTGCCAACATGTGTTGCGCGGTTGCGCCCCATGTCGCCATACCCTCCTTATTGAGGATGGCAGCCCAAGCTGCAGCAATTTGACCTGGAGCTGCTGGGGAGTTCTGGTGATTGGTTGCCTGCGGGTGTAGCAAAATTGGGCATTGTTTTGCGGCAGCAAGCGGCTTCGGGTAATCAGCTGGATCGTCAGAATAATATTCAGAACAAAGGGGGACTACTTCAACGTCCAGCTCATGAATACGTATTTTGGATGGCATCTTTCCATGTGGCATCAGCATGTGAATCAATTAAAATTCACGAGGGGATGTCCCGGACTCGAGAGCGCTCTGAGAGAGATTTCTGGGCTCATGGGAGCAAGTTCAAAGCAGCTGAAGCGGCGTAAGGATCAAGAGCATAAGCCGGGAACACGACGGCGAAGCTGGAAAAGCGGCGGACCCCCAACATTCGGGCTTCTCTTTCCCTGCACTGCCCAACAAGGAGCAGACCATGTCGCCCTAAACCTGAAGCCCTAATCCCTAAACCTTGGATGCAGGCGTAAAAAAGGCGCTAAAAAAAACACAAAACCCTAAACCCTATGGGAGTGCGGGACCCCATCACCCCTGTTGATCAGAGCTGAGCTTGAGGAGCTTGTGATGTGGTTGCAGCCTGGCGAGCTACTGCTGGGCCTGAGCCTGGCGGGCCGTCAAGGTGTGACACGGGTAGCAGGTTTAGGGTTAATCAAGGGTTTAGGGCTTAGGGTTGAGGGCTTGGGGTATTTTCGAGGTGAAGACATTCCGTATGCTTGCATTCTTTATTGTTCAAGGACTGCAAATCAAGACTTCTACAGGAGCGAATTTGTAATGCTTCGGATTTGGGTTCGTATTCCAAGCGCCTAGACGGGCAAAAGCCAGTCTGCCGGAGTGTGGGTCAGGCTTCGCCACGCGTCTCTTGGCA